CTATATGGGTTTGTAAAGGTCTATAGGGAACCTATAGGAGTCTGTACGGAGTTTATCAGAGCCCATAGGAGGGTGTAAGGGTCTATGGGGGGCTTAAGGGATATAGAAGGCGCTATATTGGTTTGTAAGGGTATAGGGAACCTATAGGAGCCTGTATGGGCCTGTAAGGGTCTACGGAGGCACATAAGGGGTCTAGAAGGGACGTATAGAGGCCTGTAGGGCATCACAGAGGAGCTCGGGGGGAGTTATAGATGGTCTATAGGGTCCCATAGTCAGTTTTGGGGGGGCTCTGGGGGATCCTTAGCGGGCTAATGGGCTGCTATAGGCGGGGTGGAGATGGAGCCCTATAGGGTTGGAGGGGTGGAGATGGAGCCCTATGGAGATGCAGGGGTGGAGATGGAGCCCTATAGGGTTGGAGGGGTGGAGATGGAGCCCTATGGAGATGCAGGGGTGGAGATGGAGCCCTATAGGGTTGGAGGGGTGGAGATGGAGCCCTATGGAGATGCAGGGGTGGAGATGGAGCCCTATAGGGTTGGAGGGGTGGAGATGGAGCCCTATGGAGATGCAGGGGTGGAGATGGAGCCCTATAGGGTTGGAGGGGTGGAGATGGAGCCCTATGGAGATGCAGGGGTGGAGATGGAGCCCTATAGGGTTGGAGGGGTGGAGATGGAGCCCTATGGAGATGCAGGGGTGGAGATGGAGCCCTATAGGGTTGGAGGGGTGGAGATGGAGCCCTATGGAGATGCAGGGGTGGAGATGGAGCCCTATAGGGTTGGAGGGGTGGAGATGGAGCCCTATGGAGATGCAGGGGTGGAGATGGAGCCCTATAGGGTTGGAGGGGTGGAGATGGAGCCCTATGGAGATGCAGGGGTGGAGATGGAGCCCTATAGGGTTGGAGGGGTGGAGATGGAGCCCTATGGAGATGCAGGGGTGGAGATGGAGCCCTATAGGGTTGGAGGGGTGGAGATGGAGCCCTATGGAGATGCAGGGGTGGAGATGGAGCCCTATAGGGTTGGAGGGGTGGAGATGGAGCCCTATGGAGATGCAGGGGTGGAGATGGAGCCCTATAGGGTTGGAGGGGTGGAGATGGAGCCCTATGGAGATGCAGGGGTGGAGATGGAGCCCTATAGGGTTGGAGGGGTGGAGATGGAGCCCTATGGAGATGCAGGGGTGGAGATGGAGCCCTATAGGGTTGGAGGGGTGGAGATGGAGCCCTATGGAGATGCAGGGGTGGAGATGGAGCCCTATAGGGTTGGAGGGGTGGAGATGGAGCCCTATGGAGATGCAGGGGTGGAGATGGAGCCCTATAGGGTTGGAGGGGTGGAGATGGAGCCCTATGGAGATGCAGGGGTGGAGATGGAGCCCTATAGGGTTGGAGGGGTGGAGATGGAGCCCTATGGAGATGCAGGGGTGGAGATGGAGCCCTATAGGGTTGGAGGGGTGGAGATGGAGCCCTATGGAGATGCAGGGGTGGAGATGGAGCCCTATAGGGTTGGAGGGGTGGAGATGGAGCCCTATGGAGATGCAGGGGTGGAGATGGAGCCCTATAGGGTTGGAGGGGTGGAGATGGAGCCCTATGGAGATGCAGGGGTGGAGATGGAGCCCTATAGGGTTGGAGGGGTGGAGATGGAGCCCTATGGAGATGCAGGGGTGGAGATGGAGCCCTATAGGGTTGGAGGGGTGGAGATGGAGCCCTATGGAGATGCAGGGGTGGAGATGGAGCCCTATAGGGTTGGAGGGGTGGAGATGGAGCCCTATGGAGATGCAGGGGTGGAGATGGAGCCCTATAGGGTTGGAGGGGTGGAGATGGAGCCCTATGGAGATGCAGGGGTGGAGATGGAGCCCTATAGGGTTGGAGGGGTGGAGATGGAGCCCTATGGAGATGCAGGGGTGGAGATGGAGCCCTATAGGGTTGGAGGGGTGGAGATGGAGCCCTATGGAGATGCAGGGGTGGAGATGGAGCCCTATAGGGTTGGAGGGGTGGAGATGGAGCCCTATGGAGATGCAGGGGTGGAGATGGAGCCCTATAGGGTTGGAGGGGTGGAGATGGAGCCCTATGGAGATGCAGGGGTGGAGATGGAGCCCTATAGGGTTGGAGGGGTGGAGATGGAGCCCTATGGAGATGCAGGGGTGGAGATGGAGCCCTATAGGGTTGGAGGGGTGGAGATGGAGCCCTATGGAGATGCAGGGGTGGAGATGGAGCCCTATAGGGTTGGAGGGGTGGAGATGGAGCCCTATGGAGATGCAGGGGTGGAGATGGAGCCCTATAGGGTTGGAGGGGTGGAGATGGAGCCCTATGGAGATGCAGGGGTGGAGATGGAGCCCTATAGGGTTGGAGGGGTGGAGATGGAGCCCTATGGAGATGCAGGGGTGGAGATGGAGCCCTATAGGGTTGGAGGGGTGGAGATGGAGCCCTATGGAGATGCAGGGGTGGAGATGGAGCCCTATAGGGTTGGAGGGGTGGAGATGGAGCCCTATGGAGATGCAGGGGTGGAGATGGAGCCCTATAGGGTTGGAGGGGTGGAGATGGAGCCCTATGGAGATGCAGGGGTGGAGATGGAGCCCTATAGGGTTGGAGGGGTGGAGATGGAGCCCTATGGAGATGCAGGGGTGGAGATGGAGCCCTATAGGGTTGGAGGGGTGGAGATGGAGCCCTATGGAGATGCAGGGGTGGAGATGGAGCCCTATAGGGTTGGAGGGGTGGAGATGGAGCCCTATGGAGATGCAGGGGTGGAGATGGAGCCCTATAGGGTTGGAGGGGTGGAGATGGAGCCCTATGGAGATGCAGGGGTGGAGATGGAGCCCTATAGGGTTGGAGGGGTGGAGATGGAGCCCTATGGAGATGCAGGGGTGGAGATGGAGCCCTATAGGGTTGGAGGGGTGGAGATGGAGCCCTATGGAGATGCAGGGGTGGAGATGGAGCCCTATAGGGTTGGAGGGGTGGAGATGGAGCCCTATGGAGATGCAGGGGTGGAGATGGAGCCCTATAGGGTTGGAGGGGTGGAGATGGAGCCCTATGGAGATGCAGGGGTGGAGATGGAGCCCTATAGGGTTGGAGGGGTGGAGATGGAGCCCTATGGAGATGCAGGGGTGGAGATGGAGCCCTATAGGGTTGGAGGGGTGGAGATGGAGCCCTATGGAGATGCAGGGGTGGAGATGGAGCCCTATAGGGTTGGAGGGGTGGAGATGGAGCCCTATGGAGATGCAGGGGTGGAGATGGAGCCCTATAGGGTTGGAGGGGTGGAGATGGAGCCCTATGGAGATGCAGGGGTGGAGATGGAGCCCTATAGGGTTGGAGGGGTGGAGATGGAGCCCTATGGAGATGCAGGGGTGGAGATGGAGCCCTATAGGGTTGGAGGGGTGGAGATGGAGCCCTATGGAGATGCAGGGGTGGAGATGGAGCCCTATAGGGTTGGAGGGGTGGAGATGGAGCCCTATGGAGATGCAGGGGTGGAGATGGAGCCCTATAGGGTTGGAGGGGTGGAGATGGAGCCCTATGGAGATGCAGGGGTGGAGATGGAGCCCTATAGGGTTGGAGGGGTGGAGATGGAGCCCTATGGAGATGCAGGGGTGGAGATGGAGCCCTATAGGGTTGGAGGGGTGGAGATGGAGCCCTATGGAGATGCAGGGGTGGAGATGGAGCCCTATAGGGTTGGAGGGGTGGAGATGGAGCCCTATGGAGATGCAGGGGTGGAGATGGAGCCCTATAGGGTTGGAGGGGTGGAGATGGAGCCCTATGGAGATGCAGGGGTGGAGATGGAGCCCTATAGGGTTGGAGGGGTGGAGATGGAGCCCTATGGAGATGCAGGGGTGGAGATGGAGCCCTATAGGGTTGGAGGGGTGGAGATGGAGCCCTATGGAGATGCAGGGGTGGAGATGGAGCCCTATAGGGTTGGAGGGGTGGAGATGGAGCCCTATGGAGATGCAGGGGTGGAGATGGAGCCCTATAGGGTTGGAGGGGTGGAGATGGAGCCCTATGGAGATGCAGGGGTGGAGATGGAGCCCTATAGGGTTGGAGGGGTGGAGATGGAGCCCTATGGAGATGCAGGGGTGGAGATGGAGCCCTATAGGGTTGGAGGGGTGGAGATGGAGCCCTATGGAGATGCAGGGGTGGAGATGGAGCCCTATAGGGTTGGAGGGGTGGAGATGGAGCCCTATGGAGATGCAGGGGTGGAGATGGAGCCCTATAGGGTTGGAGGGGTGGAGATGGAGCCCTATGGAGATGCAGGGGTGGAGATGGAGCCCTATAGGGTTGGAGGGGTGGAGATGGAGCCCTATGGAGATGCAGGGGTGGAGATGGAGCCCTATAGGGTTGGAGGGGTGGAGATGGAGCCCTATGGAGATGCAGGGGTGGAGATGGAGCCCTATAGGGTTGGAGGGGTGGAGATGGAGCCCTATGGAGATGCAGGGGTGGAGATGGAGCCCTATAGGGTTGGAGGGGTGGAGATGGAGCCCTATGGAGATGCAGGGGTGGAGATGGAGCCCTATAGGGTTGGAGGGGTGGAGATGGAGCCCTATGGAGATGCAGGGGTGGAGATGGAGCCCTATAGGGTTGGAGGGGTGGAGATGGAGCCCTATGGAGATGCAGGGGTGGAGATGGAGCCCTATAGGGTTGGAGGGGTGGAGATGGAGCCCTATGGAGATGCAGGGGTGGAGATGGAGCCCTATAGGGTTGGAGGGGTGGAGATGGAGCCCTATGGAGATGCAGGGGTGGAGATGGAGCCCTATAGGGTTGGAGGGGTGGAGATGGAGCCCTATGGAGATGCAGGGGTGGAGATGGAGCCCTATAGGGTTGGAGGGGTGGAGATGGAGCCCTATGGAGATGCAGGGGTGGAGATGGAGCCCTGTAGGGTTGGAGGGGTGGCGAAGGAGCCGTATGGGGAAGACGGGGCTGCGGGGAGGGTGCGGGATGGAGGTGGTGGACCGGCCGGCCGGAGAGGAGAACAGAGGGTGGAAGGAGGGGACGCGTCGGCCTCACCTCGTGCCCGTCCCCGCAGTGGGACCTCGTCTGCGGCTACCGGCAGCTCCGGCAGATGGCCCAGTCCATCTACATGGCTGGGGTCCTGGTGGGCGCCCTGGTCCTGGGGGGCCTCTCGGACAGGTAAGGGCAGCAGAGACCCCCTCCCCGTGCCTCAGTTTCCCCACGGGGCACTGGATTGACCATCACCCAGTGGCACCCAGTGGCACCCAGTGCCTCCCTGTCGCAGGTTTGGGCGCAAGGCCATGCTGATGTGGTCCTACCTGCAGCTGGGGGTGATGGGGACGTGCACGGCCTTCGCCCCCAACTACGCGTCCTACTGCGTCTTCCGCTTCGCCGGTGGCATGGCCCTCTCCGGCTTCGGCCTCAGCATCGCCTGCCTGGGTGAGGGGACGGGGATGAGGGGGACCACGGGGACCTGGGTGGGGACAATCAGCATGGCCGTGGGTGGGGACAACCCGATGGCCATGGCTGGGGACATCATCTTGGCCATGGCTGGGGACATCACCATGGCCATGGGCATCATCTTGGCCATGGGTGGGGACATCACCATGGCCATGG